ATAGTAAGAGCACTTGCTGACCTTCAAATGTGTTTTCAGATCAGGAGAAGGTGTCTGACTACGAGATGAAACTGATGGATCTGGATGTGGAGCAGCTTGGCATTCCAGTAAGACTTATTTTACAAATTCTGATATGAATGTGCATGGTTTTTTTTTGTTGCTTTTTTCTCCAACGATCATGTCCCGTTCTGTTTTTCACTTCAGGAGCAGGAATACAGCTGTGTGGTGAAGATGCCCTCTGGTGAATTTGCCCGTATCTGCAGGGATCTGTCACAGATTGGTGATGCTGTCATGATCTCTTGTGCCAAGGATGGTGTGAAGTTCTCTGCCAGCGGAGAGCTGGGCACAGGCAACATCAAGCTCTCACAGACCAGCAATGTTGACAAGGAGGATGAAGCGGTAACATTCGTTTAACACTGGCAACATTACAAGCTAAAGTCAGGTGTGGCAGTTTTTTGTTATGAAGGAAATTCACAACACTGTGTTCCCTACAGGTGACAATTGAGATGAATGAGCCGGTGCAGCTTATTTTTGCTTTGAACTACCTGAACTTCTTCACCAAGGCCACTCCTCTGTCCAAGACAGTCACACTCAGCATGTCCGCAGACATTCCACTAGGTAAGGAACATGCTTACATGCCCATATTAAATTGCCTTTTGAGTTCAAGCGATTTAAGTGATTGACTGTCTTTTTTCCTTCTGCAGTGGTTGAGTACAAGATTGCAGACATGGGGCACGTCAAATACTACCTAGCACCCAAGATTGATGAAGAATCGTCCTAAAGCCAAGTACAAGACTGACGTCTGTCATCTGCAGAATTTCGTTCTGCATATCAGAAATTATTTCAATAGATGTTTTGGGAAAATGCATTTTACTACTCCGTGTCTGCTGTGGTTTCCAGTTCAATGGATTCACAATTCTGTGACCATCTAAGCCATTTCGTATGATTGGTAGATAAATGGGCACACTTAAACCATGGTAGTTTGGTATTAGCTTTACCAGGCTCTGTGGGCTGAATCTAGATTTCTTAAAGACAGCATGTACAGACTCAACTTTGGCTCAGTCTCATTTTCTCGATATTTGTGCTCTTGTCTGTCTGTCTTGACTCCACTTCAGGTTTTTGTCCAACTGCTCATTTCAGTGTGTAGATAATGTCTGTAAATATGCTAATTGGACATCCAGTCAACCATTAATAAAACTTTTTGTAATGATGATTTGCTTCTGTGTGTTGCTTAGGTCATAACATACTTGATATTTAAAAGAAAGATGTTTAGATGTTCTTAA